TTTCGCTGACACAGCTTTAGCAGAAATCTCTCTGTAGTCGTTTTCGTCGACAAGACGAATAGCAATATCGCTCCCCGCGTCGTCCACAATTTTTTCTGCGTCAATTCGTGAAGGGCGCATGGCTATGCGCGTGGGTCATCCATGCGCAACATATTCGCGCTATGTGATTGGCTGTTGTCTAATCCCCCTTGAGATTTGTGGTGTTAAAAATAACTCGGGACGAATTACCTGTGGAATAGGGTGTGTATGAGGGATGCCTTCTCTGTCCCCTTTATCCTCTCTTGATTAAAATACATTTTCGTTAATAAGGTCCATTAATCCTTCAAAAATACGTTTCACGTAGAAGTCAAATGTATGCACATGTATTTCCACAGAAAGGAAAAAATTTACCTTTAGCCGAGAGACAATTGCCTGAACAATGGCGTCTTCATGCAAAGTAGCACAAAAAGAAAGCTTCAGGAAAACAACACAACCATGACTTAAAGTGTGTATGCGTGTGGGTTCTTAGAATGACATGAAAACAAATATGCAGCAGGAAACTTACCGACGAAAAGCCTGAATGTCAAAAAAAAAAATCCAATTGACAATCCACAAATTTGCCCGCGAAAGCACCGGTCAGAGATATGACAAAATGGGCCGAAGCGAACGTTTTACGCTAAGCATCTTGGGAAGACGTTTTAATCCTCGTTGAAACTCTGATCAGACCTATAAGTGTCTTAATCATAACTATAACAAAATTCTCAAATCTGATTGGTTCTCAACTGCCCTTTATTTCAGCCTTAATAGGACAGTTTAATAGGACAGTACGCGTCATGCCCAAGTAATTGGACAGTACGCACCATCACGCGCGCGCTTAAATGGCTTTTTTTTTCATAGCTAGCGAAAAAATCTTGGAATTTCTTGTATTTTGATTTAAAAAGAGCCCTATATATCACAAATTTTGTTAAAGTTATGATTAATTGGTAACAGAACTTCGTGTCGTCCAATTCGGTCTGTAATCATACTCGTGATTAAACAAATCGGACTCCCGCTACGCGGTCGTCCGATTTTGTTAATCACTCGTATGATTACAGACCGAATTGGACTCCACTCAGTCCTGTTACCATTACTTATTTGCGGTGAAACCCGAGTCGGTTCAGTTCATCAATGATATTTTACATATCGAACTGCTCAAGAAAGTAGTATAGGAGGGATGTTTTAGGCCTCTTTTTTGGGGAGGATTCTCATTAAGGTGGTGGTGGAGGGAAAACAATAGAAATGAGGAGGAGGAGGAGGAGGAGGGAAAAATGGGAATAAAATTATTGCGGAAGGAAAATAACAAAATTGTGAAAAGGAGAGGGGTAAGTAAAACATTGTTTGCAGTGTAAAAAAAGAGCTATTTTGCCTTTTCCCTCATTAATATGCACGATTTGCCCGCCAAAAATCAGTGAACGGGAACTAGGACAATCACAGCAGCAGCAAATAGGAGATTTGCCCGCCAAAAGTCAGTGAACCGGAACGAGGACAATCACAGCAGCAGGAAATAGGACTTGCATAATTACATTACGCCTCCGTGATTTTAAGTCACAGACAAGTTTGACTTTACTCCTCAGACAGTATGTCATAGACGCTAATTTATTCCACCGCGTTTTATTCATGAGTTCAAGACAATAGGTTATGTCATAAAACAAAAATAAACCAGTCATATCAACCAGGCTAAAAATAGAACCTGACAAACCGGTCAAACCAGTATACTTAATTAAATCCACCGCATTTTATTCATGAGATGAGGACAAAAGCCTATGACGTCATCGGCGTTAATGTATTCCTCCCCACCTTAATGAGAATCCTCCCCAAAAAAGAGGCCTAAAACATCCCTCGTATACTACTCAAGAAGTTGAGTAACTTTCTTGCTTTATTTCGGTTTGCTGAAAGGGTTTAGATGTTTCAGTTAAAGTTGCTCAGCAAAAAAAAGGATCTGTTTTAAACATGCATTCAACCTCAATAATAATTTCTTTTTCAATTTTTCGACCTTTTTATCACGATCGAGAGCGTTTTTTTCAAGAATTACGTGTCCTGTGCTCTTCGTGGGTAAATAATCTATGTCTGTGTCTATTCATTTGTTGTACAGGAGTAGTGGTGAAGTTAATGGGTAAATGAGGCTATGCAGAATCTCTTCCTCCTGATTCTTAAGCCACTGGTTGAGAAACAGAATTTCTGTATCATTTATATGCCGTGCAGTTTTTCGCATTTCGTTGCGCCTTATGATAATGTTCAGAATAAATATGGATGATTAAAATAATTGTAATTTCGTCGTTATTACAGGATATGATAAGCTTTTAGCTCTCCGCCATGGTTAAAAGAGGTAAATAAAAGAAGTATAACGAACTTAAGCGGTTACAAATAATATCAGGCCCGTATCCAGATTTTTTTTTACGGGGAGGCGCGATCCAACGAGGAGACGGATCAAATGAGGCGGAAGGTGTAAGTATCTAGGGGGAGGGAGCTTTGATTGTCTGAGACTGAATTGGGTAGCAAGTTCTCAACTGGGCGGCTCACTTCGAACGCGTTAGTGTGAGTCAACTAAGGGTATTCGGGAGCATGCTTTAAATTTAAGCCCTCTGAAATGGCTGGAAATGCATTTAAAACTAGGCATGGTGTGGTGAAACTTTCAGCAACAGAAAACGTCACCATAAAAAAAAAAACTTTTCTTCACAAAACGCATGATGCAACAACAACTATTCTCCGAACCTTCGACCTTGTTCGATAACGGAAGTTTACCTCCATGTTGAACTAGAGCAGCTGATGCGCTTAGCGAACAAAAATCTATTTCGTCCTTCAGTGCCGAGCTGGGATACAAATAATAAAAGTTAATTTACAACCTTTGACCGCTGTGAATAATCCTAGAGGGAATTTTATTGAGCAATGAAAAAATGTCTTGTAGGCACAACAAATTCCCTTTTTATACTTTACAAAGGCTATTAAAATCATATTTTCTGGAAAGGGTGAGTCAGGCTGAGTGTGACCTTTTTTGTAGCATTAGAGAGATTAAGATTCACGTTTACGGCACACGGCAAACGGCAAACGTCAGTTGAGAATTTCTCAAAATAGAAAATAAGCAGATAAAAACAGTCCAGAACGATTCCTTTGGATAAAACTGGCATAAAACCACTTATTTTTGTGTAGAAGCAATAAATAGTAAACGAAAAATAAGGGGAAAACTTGGTCACGTGGTACAAATTCACGTTTGCCGTTTGGCGTAAACGTGAATCTTAATCTCTCTATTTTCAATTATACTACCTAATCAGTAAATTCGAATAGAATAGTCCTACTTCACTTCGTTTTAAATCGCTGATCAACGAAAAAGTGAACCACTGTTGCCCATGGAGGGCTGCGAGGGCACCCGTTGCACCCCTCTCTATACGGGCCTGAATATTACAGGAAAGGAAGAAGCACCTGTTTTACTGAGTGTTAAACATTGATAACTTTAAAACTTAAAATCGGACATCTTGTCGTCTTCAACTTTAAAGGTGCTCAGAAGACCTACAATATAAATTATGGCCAACAAATTAAGGGGCTTAACAAGATTTCAACATGGCGAAATGTTATGTAAGATGAACAAGTGAATAAAAGTGCCACATGTTAAATAAGAGTACAATAGATAACAGTGTTTGTTTGAAAAGGTGAACAACGGTGCCTGCAAACCGTGTGTCAATCAATAAACGGTTGAATGGTTCATTGATCAAAACAGGTGATGCTTCTTTATGAACTTGTTGGTTGAATAGTTTAACGGTTTTTAAGACACATTTTATTTAAACTGATCTGTAGTACAGTTATCTAAAGGAGAGTGGAATATTTCAATCTCTTTTGAGAGGAGTTATGTCTCTAATGTAACAAAATCTGTCGAGAGCCGGAAATGAACTGCAGCGTTATCGGACAGTCAACCTTTATCTTCAGTTTCCTTTATATAAAGCTGGTTTCTGTTAGTGTTGAAAGCGTGCACAATACAGGTATACGAGATTTGATGGATTCAAGAGGAGAAAAGTTTCAAACAAAGCAAGTGGAGGTAACGTTTTTAATAAACTGTACTTTGTTCTTAAGTTATGTTTATGACCTTTAACTGTTAGTGAAATGAAGTGTATAGCAGTTCATCTCGCCAAAGTTCGAGAATGAACGCACAAGAACTCCGTTGGAACATAATCTCTCGCATGAGTCGTAACTGCTTTACTCAATGAATCTCAGAATGTGCAACGGAAAAAATATTTTTACCCAGAAGGAGAACCATTTCCCTGTTAACTGATATGATGCTTATAAGCGGAGTGGTATCCACGTTTAAAACTTCTGGTAACAGTCAAACTATCCCTTTGAATTCTGATTTAGTCTTGTTTGGTCTTTGATAATTTAGTTAGAATTCCGTAAAAGCGTTAAAGCGTAACTTGCACGCTTGGTCACTTTTAGTATCAGTCGTTATTCAGAGTATTCTTTCATGTAGATATGGGTGGCCAGCAGCCGGGCTCAAAAATAATGATAACAATGTTAACGCTCTCCACCTCTAATTGCCGTAATCGTGTGGACTGATGTAAATGGATACTTCCGAAAACGATGAAGTCACAGTAAGTGATCTCCGACCAGACAAGAATTTTTCCCTGCCACTTTTCCTTTTGTAAGAAGCACATTTTAGATTTTTTTTCTTTTAAGTTAATCTCAAAGCTTGTTATTTCAGAATAAAGCTGGATCAGTGAGGCTTCCTTTAGTTCTGGTTTTGAAAATCGAAGCGTTAAACTATTTGACAGATGCCTGATACAGAAGAGTATTTCAAAGTGATTGGTGAAACAACTTTGGCGACCAAACAATTATTTTAGAGGGAGAGCAAAAAATAACCACATTGATACTACATTCTGGTGCCTTAATTGTGAAACCTTGAGGGACACGTTTCTGTCGTCAATTTTAAATAGACTTATGTCTCTTTGAGGGACTTAAACTTTCTTCCTACATTCACTTTGCTACTAATTTATATTTTTATGGCGAGCGTTTTTGAAACAGTCCTATTTATCCTACAGATAAACTTGCGAGCAGAAGACACGGATTACGCTTCTTTTTTGGACTCTTTCATCCAACCAGCAAGGATCAAGAAGCTAAAAACTGTCCAGAGAATACTGGGGAATTACAAAAGAAAGAGCGTTCCTGTGAATCACGATAGACTTGAAGAAAATATTAAACAAGCGCTAGAGCAACACATTGAAGAAATGGAACCGAACTTTCGGTCAGCGTCCTTTCTGCGGCTATGGCAGGAGTTACGAAAACCACTGACTGATGTAATAAGACCGCGAAAGCTCGAAGAGATGCTTGGTGATTTAGATAAGTGTAAACATGCTAATGTGCAAGACTTTTACAAATTTCCCTATGATGTTGACAATATTCAAAGGGACTTAACTATTTGCAAGATCTGTGAAATATTGGTGAAGGAGACGGAATCATCATCCGCGCCTGATCACAACGGGAGTAATTACGTTTACATGTGGAGCCTATTGAAGAATCCGCTGACAAGATGCTTTAAGATCGCACGGTTGTCTTTGTTGATGGAAGAACTCGCACAATGTCTGCCTCGTTTTGAATTGGCAGGAATTAAGTATAAGATGCCGAGTAAAATGTCCGAAGTGAAAAGAGACGTAATCATTTGTAAGGTTGACGAACTACTTAATGAACCTTTTGGCTATGATGGGATGTTGGGAAGTGCATAAAAACCTTTAGAGAATGGTCTTAACAACAGCTGATAATATAACGAAGTGCAATCGAATAACCTTGTGACTACCGAATTTGTGATGCATTAGGAATGCCAAACGAGTCGTTGATTTGCACTGAATCAGGCTATTAAGGTAATACTACGAATCACGAGAAACATTTTGATTACAAATGTTTAGTATGTTTACTAGACCTTTCCCACCAACGAATAAGGGCACCACTTCCGGGTTAAATCCCATTGCCAATCTTGATGCATTGCTTACCACGAACACAAATCCCGCGAATTTCTTGTTACATGAAATTACCGATAGTTGTGAAACGCTTTTGTTTCAAAGATTTGGTATCTTTTCGAACAGATTTGGCTATCCGTTCGAAAAAGAAATGTCCGTCCGTTTGAATGACTCGTTCAATAAAAATTGTTATCATTCGAACGGCTCGAGCGATCCGTTGGAAAAAAACCGTCATCCGTTCCAAAGGCTCGGGCTATCCGCCTGAAAAAAATTGTCATCCGTTCGAACGCCTTGAGATATCCGTTCAAAACGATTGTCAGCCGCACTACTGTTCTAAACTACTTTCAGCCGAGCCGTTTGCGACGAGCCTGTCAAAAAATGTAAGGGACGGACCATTCTTTTTTTGACGGGGTGGGGGGGGGGGGGGGGTTGGAAAACCAGTAGAGAGATATGTCCCTCCTCTGTAGTATCCTTTGGACTTTGTGTGGCACCGGTCCGTGGGCCACGAGATAGGTGTACTGTTGGCGGCGGGGTGGGTGGGTGAGGAGGTGGGAAAAAAGTGTGGGGGGGGTGGTTGTTGGTGGGGGGGGGGGGGGGGGGGGGGGGGTGGTTGGAAAATTTTGAAATAAATTGTTTGCAGAAGTTTTAAACACTGAAATGAATTGTATGCAAGCAAAAATAGGTGTTTGCAGAGCAAGCCGCATACAAAAAATGTTTACATGTGAAAAATTTTCCAACCCCTCCCCCCCCGGGCAAAAAATAATAGTCCGTCCTTAAGCTGAAATAATTCTTCAGCGCGTTGTTTACCATCCCCTCATGAATTTTCAGGGTACATTTTCTGCTGAATAGCCTACTTTGCTTTCATAACATTCGATTATCTATACACGTTTTATTCAAGAACAAATTTCCCGAACAAGTTGTTTTGATCTATCAAAGTCTTTTGGTAGTCTGGTATCTCCCGTGGGAGTAGATTCTCACTGTCAATAAACTTTGCCTAAATCATGTTTATTACCATCATCTTCCTGATTTCCGGTGATTAAAAGCTATTGCCACGGTACAGATCTGGAAAATAAAATTGTTCCTTACATCTTACAAGGCGGCTTACATGTTATAAACTTGAACCCAGGTGTAATCTTATATTTTGTCATTCGCTCGGCATCTTCAGAGTCGTGCACCACCATAATGACGGAGCCGTGCACGTTTCTTTCAGGTAAACCTGAAATGTCAATGGACTCATTCACTTCCATGAGAAATAATACTTATTTATTAACGTTACAGGGAAAAACACATCACCGACGCGACCACAGCCGGCTATTTTTTAGTTGTCTTTTTGTGAGAAAGCCTGGTAAAAGGGTTGACCAATCAGAGCACGCCATTTACAAAAGCGCGATTCAAAACGTTAACAAATGAACGCGTTGCATCAAGTTTGGCAATGGGCCTTTAATGATGGCAGTCAAAAATGATCAAGCATCAACGACTGAACAAAACTTATAAACTTAGATTTCAAATGCACTGTAAGCCCCCTTATAAAAATTTCTTTGCGAGTGAAAACCTCGCGGAATTAAAAAGAGGTTTCGGGCAGCGACAAAAACAAACAGACAACATCAATAAACGGTGAATGAAATCTTAAATTTTCACAGATGCCTTCTGATTGGACGAAAGTTTTCTAGAGGAGTACATAAGAGATTAGGTCTCATTGGAAAAAGATTTGTATCCAAGATACGTGGGGTTAGTACACATCATCCTCCGAGTTCGTTCTTAGTATAGTACCTTAATAATGAAATTATAAATGATTTGAATTGAGCGCATATCTTGACCCGCTACCCAGCCAAGTTTAGATTACCTCAAGCAAAAGACGATACATCTGGAATTTTTGTGAACCTCACATATTCAAATCTACTCGATGTCGTCATCATTCCAAACTTGAAGGAATAAAATGGAAAAAATTAATACTAGCTAACAGCAAATCCAAACAAATACTGGCTCTTCTGTGCTCAGTCGACAACTAGGATAAACTAAAACCTTATATTTGAAAAATAAAAGGGACTGGCACTCATTGGGGCATGATGGTCAATGCATTTACGTAGAAGCTAATTCAGCATTTTCGGCTGCATTTCGGGCTTCTAGCTGCGCCTCGTATTTTTTTCTCGTTTCGCTTTCCTGCACCATGGCTCAAGATCCGGAAAACCCCGAAGCTGACGCTGTTGTCGCGGCTGTGCAGGCTAAAGAAGACGATGTTGAAGAAATTAATGCTGTTGCTGCAAACGCGGCTCCGCCTGTGGCCCTTAGTTAGCTTTCTACATTTTGTGTTCGTTAGTTTCCGAGCTCGTTCCCGGCTCACGTTTGTATTTTATATCTCGGCTTCCTCGCCTTACCGTTCGTGTCGTTATCATTTATGTTTTACTCTTACGTGGCACTTAGTTTACTGTTTTTTTTTTGTGCCGTGTGTTCGTACGTTAATTTGTTCTACGCGTCTGTGTGACAGTTGTCGCAATCAGGTCTGTGCTTCCTTCATCTTACGTCTTGCTTGCGTCTGTGTGACTGGCTGTATATGTCATAATTTTATATTAAACGGCGGATTACGTTTTTCTTCTGTGTGACATACCAACCTTTTCTCTAGTGTGTTTTTAAACGCTTGTGCCTGTACCACGGGTCTGTGTGACGGATGTCGTTCGCCTGTGTGCCGAATTTGTCCTGTCGTGTCTGTGTGACCAATTTACTTTCTATTCTTGCGTGTTTATGACTTGCATTAGTCTTGGTACGCTGTGTGAAGATTTGATTTGCGTCTGTGTGACGAGTCTTTGTACTCTGTGTGGAGATTTGATTTGCGTCTGTGTCTTTGCAAACTACTCTTAATGCATCAAAGTAGAAAAGGCTTTAGAATCTGCTCAACAGCTCGTAAGCCGCTTTCCCTTGCTCCTGGATCCACTCGCGCTTCTCGCGTGCCTGGAACAGTTGGCTATCACGCTAGGTAGGTCAACTGACGTGGACTCTGTTAATCAAGTGACTCGTCTCCCTGCATTCTTACAAAAGCTATGTGTTAGGGCGACTATTTGTGTAAGCGTATTTCTGGTGTCCTACTTGCGAAGTATCAAGTGTTTCGAAGCTCGCAATAAAAAGTTGGTCCTTCATGAACACAGGGCTTGAGCTTTCTTCACCAACCACCCGGACAAAAGACGTATGTACGCAATTAACAAACGGTGTCGTCCTCTGGCGAAATCTACTACGCTTGCCTAGGTGGTTTGCAGCTGCTTGGGGTTAAGGAAGAGAGAGACGTCACAGCACATATCAGGAAAATCTTTATAGGCGGGCACTCATCTGGGAGATCGGCGGCAGAGCCCTTTTCTGATACCTGGAAAGAGTCGCTCCGTGCTCATCGCCCGACGCCATAATTTACAGGTTCGTTTTGTCATAAAGTAGTATTGGCCTAAAATGAAGTTAATAAAAAACACATTGAGGTTAAAAAGATCCTGAAGCAGTGCGGACATCATACTGATGTAAAAAAATTAAATAATGTGTAATAATGATGCTTAAATAGTATCGATTTCGGTAGCGCGCAGAATGCAATTAATTTCTTCTTTCCCTTTAGAGGGGTCATAGCACGCGCGAAGGACCGACATAAAATTATCTGGGCGCCGCGATTTATTTTGGTCATTTTTCATCCAACCCCGTCACTTTTGCGCGACGACAAAAAGAACGATTGAGGGAGCCACTGCAGATTATTTTGCTCGTTACTCAATAAAAAAATGAGCTTAACTTCCTAACTTAATATAAAAAGGTTAAGGTTATAGTTCCTTGTCTCGATACTTATAGATGTGTGATTAAGAACCTGAAGCGAAAGCAAGTCAAGTAAAACACTGCTCTCAGCTCCGCAATGAATAAATTTGCACGAAGTTCAAATTCTTCCGTCGGTGAAACTTCATTATTCACAGTGCACAGTGCAGTGTAGCACTCCCAACCCCCCCCGGTTCGCAAGTTTGTCACGCCAAAGGTTTCCGATTATTCAAACAAACTTCGGCTTGGTCTGGGCAGGTGTTACCTGGAACAAAGAGCCTATTGTTGAACGTTAATTGGGAAATTCAGCTCGGTACGATGGACCATTTCTTGATACGGTGGTCTAGGGCCGCGCGCCCGACCTTCTTACAGGTAGAATGAGGTAACCCCCACACGATGCTTTCATTGCAGGCAGGTTGCTTATCACGTTAGACAGTGCCCTGTGCTAAGTCTAGTTGTAAGCAATAACTTGTACTTTTTCTCTTTGTCACATCAACTAGCGTAAATCTCTTTAAGAAATTAGAGTGGCTCCCATTTTATGACGAAGCCAAAGTTAATAAGTGTTCGTTTTAACGATATGTATTTTGGGTTCTTGATTTTTTAATTTTTGTTGTTATAGTTTAAAGTTTGAGGGCCACTAGTTATTCAGTTAAAGTAGTGTCCCGTGTTACCCTCGTTAAATAAAGTTGATTATTATTATTATTATTGTTATTATTATTATTATCATTGTTGTTATTTTTATTAGTATTATTATAACTACATAGTACAGTTTCCTGTATCACTAGTTTGTCTGATTTTCCTTCCCAAAGTCAACCGCTGGTATGCCTTGGAGTGGGTTGTCTAATGCCCTTAATTTCTCTGTCCCTGGACAGGGTATTTCGACGATGCTTCGCGGTTGGCTTTTACCCTTTCCTATCATTTCGTTAGTTAGTTTTGCACTCGTTTTTATTTGTAGGCCTCGCCCTGTGACAAGGCTCGTTGCGATTTCCTCCCGGATCAGATATCACTTTATATTATCCGGTGGTGCAATCGGGAAGGGGAAAAGTCTCGCGTTGCAGGCCCTCTCACTTCGCCTTCCATAAGGATATCGGTGAACTTTAGAACTTTACACTAGTTTTCCCGTGAGATTGTTTCACTTTTCTCTCCCTCTTTAGCCATCGTGCTGGGACTGCCGAGAGTTTTCAATAAACTTTTTCTTTTGTGTTTTGGGGAGAGTTACGTGTTTTTTGTTTATTGTGGTAGCACGGTGTCAGTTTGCCCTAAGCTCTAGGGAAGTGGCCACCGTAGGGCTCGCCTCTTCCCATAACTCATCCCAACCCGGGGGCGTTTGGGAGTGGGGGCTCCCAGTGAGAATTTATTACTAAGTATACTTGGAACCTACTTTGAGTGTGAAGGGGTAAAATGTACCAACTTTACTTGGTGACGATGGAAACCTTCGTAGTTCAAAGAAGCCAAAGTTAGCCCCAAAGTATGGTCAACACCACACTCTAGAACACACTTGACCAATAAGAAATGAAAGCCATGTGCACGAAGTGCGCTTGCAGTAGTTCCAAGATTCTAATAAACTGGAGAGATTAACAGCTTTTACTTCAAGTAATAGACTTTGTCAACAAGTGGGAACTGAGCCATGTTTTCTACCGAGCGACTTAAGCTTCCAAGTGCACTTGAATCAAGTGCTTACCTGAAACTGACTTCCCTTTAGTATGAAGCCAACATTCATTTCAGCGTTTGTCGAATTTATTTAATTTTTAAGGGCAAGAGGCTGAGATGACTGTCTAACTGGTAAATAACGCACGCGCTGGTTGTAGAATAACTGAACAAGAAATTCCAAAACTGTACGATCCATAGCCTAGTAAAGTATTAAAGATTTCTTCTGAAGTATGTTCCAAAGTCCATAAAATGGCCGGGAAAGAACGCACACGCACACCATCCCTGATCAAACTGGCTCCTCGCGAACGTTAAAACATCACTGTGGCCTAAATAAAGCTAAGAATCAAGCAGTGGCTTCAGCATCAGCGAATTGATCGAGTTTTCTTTCTCCGAAGTTACTCCAGTTATTCAAGCTTAGATTAAAAGTCCCACAAAATTCTAAGGGATTCGGTCAGTGATAAGCTTAAATGATCAGTGAAGTCAAAACCCTCTGTTCATCGGGATAAAAGGAACAAAAGACGGAAACAAGATTCCTCAAAAATTTCTGACGTTACGATGACTTGCTGAAGCGTTACCAGTCGATGCAACTGCCCCCCGCTGAATCATCCAAAGCATCCAAAGACAAATCCAAACCTTTCCTCACACTTTCCACCATTGTGATCATCGTGGAAAATTCCTTAGTAACCACGTCTTTGTCCTTGTAGAAAATGTGACGTCAAAGTAGGAATCTATAGGAATTGGTAGTTATCGACAACCATACATGGTGCCAAGGAAAATTTAATAATTCTGTTACGCTTTTCGCGGTACGTCCTATAATTATAATTATCATAAGCATAATTATTCAGATTTGAAACTCAGCCAAGAATACCTGAAATGAAATCTTAATTTTGAAAACAGCAATATTTTTATCAAACGAGCTTCACTTCACAGAGGCCTGAATCTTGATTTTAGTCCTTGGCCAATACAGACACTAAATTTCCTTATTCCTATTGACTCGCTCCAGGGACATTAAGTTATGAGAAAGAGAGCTATGATTGAAATAGTCGGAGATGCTGAACAGGATTAATCTAGATACCGAAAAACACTAACGGAAAAACAGTTCATCAGAGTTTCAGAGGTGCTTTCATTTTCTACCAGTATACTATCAGCTACACAATCAGTTTACATAAATGCATTTATTCAAACTTGCATATTTATGAGCGAATATTTTATTCTTTAGCTCGAAACCCAAAACTAAAAGTACAGAAGATCGAAACACTCTCCTCAGCACGTCAAACGTTTTGATCTTTACATTAAATTGGTGAAGGCAAAACCATCAAAACACTTTCAAAAACTTTTGGTAGACAGTTTTCAGTACTCGAAGAGGAAAAACCGCAACACCAAGCCATAAACAGCTTCCTCAAGATGAAAGGGTTTATTTTCCTTGCTGTTCTTGCTACGTCAGTCTATTCGAAAAGGGTCAGCTACAAAAATTGTTCATCGCAAAAGCAGCTTGGAGAGACCATCTATGTGGATGTCACCCCTTGTGATGAAGATCCCTGTATACTCAAAGCAGGCGATAACGCGACGATTACCGTCAGTTTTAAACCGTACGAAACTGTCACAAGGGCCAAGCTTTTCGCGTACGCAGACGACTATCCATTGCCGATTCCGAATCCCAATGCATGTGATGGTCATGGACTTGCCTGTCCGCTGAAGGTTAACACACCCGTGAAGCTTGTGTTCAGCCAGGAAATTAGGGAGTACTACCCATCTGGTACATACACGCTGGAAGCCGGGTTAAAGGATCAGAATGGAGTTATAATTATTTGTGTCGTCTTTCACTTGAAAATTGTATAAATACATGAACATTTTCAATTTTGTGAGCGTAGGATATTAAGATAGAGTGTAACGTGCAGTGTTGTTCCATTATAAAACCTGAGTGGACATATGTATTGCTAAATATGATTTTTAATGTAAAGAAATTAAATCAGAATTTTCCGTTACAAGCTGATTCGTTTAGAAATGGATTTAGCTGGAATTGTGTGGTTTGATGGTCTCAGATAAAAATTAAAGAATAGACCGAATTTTTCAATGAAAAGAGAAAAGACAGCAATGTTCGAAACCTAGAATAAGTTAACGCACTTGTTGGAATCTGATTACAAGTATCGGATCTACCTTATTTTCGACGCGTTCAGCTACAGCTGCGGAAGCGATTCTGTTATATGCTACATGATATAGTGGAAGTTAAATTCTGTTTCCTTAATTCCTCGAGATTAAATCTCTCCTGAGTAGGAAGGTATTTAATCATTTTATAGGCACTATGCTCTTCGAATTTCAGTTTAAATGAAAAATCGAGCAAGATTTTGATTTCGTGGGAAGAGTTGAAAAATCAATTTCTTTCATTTTTTTGTCCAAAGCTAGCCTTTAGGTAGATAAGAAACCTGATGTAGATTGTTCCCGCCAGAAGCCTTTTATTTGTGAGAAAAATTAGCCTAATTTATGGGGTGAAATTCGTTAACATCAACTTTCCTCGCGTTAGCAAACGAAGAGGCACAGAGAAATTTGGACACTTTCTAGAAGATGCTTTCAGGGCAATAGCGAGGCTCGTCGCACTGAAATAATTCAATAATGAGAGATAGGTTTTCATGATAATAAAAGGTTAAGTTCGGTACTCATTTTCGAAAGCAATATTTAAAATGTGGTATAACTCCAAATTAGGATATTTCACCTTGTTACATTACGAAACGAGGAAACTTGGAGCCGTTAAATAAGTTATTTCGGTCACGCTTCACTGTATTTACCGGACTTTGATGCTTTCGTTTGGAGGGTGCCTTCAGGAACCCAAGCCAATTCTCAGGTATGTTTCAGATGAATGTCTAAATGTGTGAATAAACGAGGAATGGGAAAATTTGGCGCTATACCACATGAAGAATAATGCCGCAGAAAACAATAGTACTACTAAATTAAAGTTTTTGTCACCGCAAAAACCTGTTCTTCGTTTTTGCATTATGTCAGCTCAACGAGTCTCGATATTACTTTGACAGTGTCTTCTAGTGAAAAAAAGAAGATTTGTTCTTTTGATGGAAAGTGTTCAAATTTCTCCTTGCGACTTTTCCTTGCGAACGCGAGGAAAGCAGATGTTATCAAATTTTGGGTTTGAAATAAGGCCATTTTGTGACTCCGACGACGAAATCTGATATTCACCGCTAACTTTTCTCGAAAATAAAAGGATTTTTGCTAGAACAATTTTCATCAGATTACTTATCTACCTAAAAGCTACCCATGGACAAAAAAATTAAGGAAACCACCTTTTCAACTCTTGCCATTCGCGATGCTCTATTTTTCCTGACCGTCGCTCTTAACCTGTAGAAAAGCAAAAGCAAGGTAAAGCGTCCTTATTTCATGTCGTAGCTGCCCGAACTAGTAATCATGTGACTAACCAACCTGAGGCCGGGTATGATGTGCTCATATGATGTGCTCGGTATTTAAGGGCAAATGTTTTATGCGTCAAAACACCGTATTCTCAGAGCAAACGGAATTGATCAGGATGCCTTACAGTGGAAAAGGAAACAACCTTCGAGACACCTCTGAAACTTTTTAAATTAAGACATTATAGTTCTGTCCTTTAGTCCCATTGTAAAGCAATTGTGTAAACGGACTAACGATGCATACAAATTGGTGCTTTGGTCGTGTTCGGTACCGATGCCAACTGGATTGATTGCCAATGGAAAGTAATTACAGTAGATCAAAGATATTTATCAAAAACGCTGCTTAATGGTTAGTAAAGACATTTGCTTATTCTGTAGTCTAATGATCGAGAATGTACGTTAAAAATCAAAAATAACTATGAAACAATTTGATCATAGTCACATATATTTTGCACAATCATGTTAGCTCAAGGTCCAGATCTATAAAAAGGAACTGAAAGCAGAATTGGAAACCCAGAGTCAATTTCAACTGCCATATAGTACAGTATTTAAATAAGCAGCCAACTTATTTTTAATGAAATTTGAAATCCCTTTTGATCACGTAATTGTTAGAATACTTGTCAGATTTATAAAATGTTCAAGGCCGTCCTTTCTTACCAATCTTTGTTTTTTTCCTTTCGAACATAAGAACTCACTTTCAGTTCCTCAGGGATCGGTTGGGGGTTGGGAAATGACTTTCATTGAATTAAACCCCTAAAGGAGACCAATCTGGGCGTGGCTTAAGCTTCATTTGACCTTTCAAAGAGTCATGGTGACTCGAACTCCTCCGATAACTCTAAATAAGTTCCATTTCCCTTGGAGTTGGCCCCGCTTTTCAGGCATTTTTACTCGGTGAACGTGAACTTCGATAACTCGAATTTGCAGCGAACTCGAATAAATCTCGTCTGCCTTGATGAGAATTTACACCGTTAAGTTAAACCAGTAAACTGTCAATATTAATAACATGACTAATTGAATATTCAATGTACCTCGACAACTTGAACTGTTTCGTTTCCCTTAAGGGTTTGAGTTACCAGGTTTCTACTGTCGTTCATAAACAGACATCCAATAAGAGCTCCAATTCACCATAATTTTAATTGTGCTAAAGAAGTCTTCAATAACCGTTTAATTCTTTTCGTGATATCCTTTACTCTATCTGCATATAAAGCCAAGAGAGAATAATGCTTTTTCTCTCGAGTTGAGAATTTATAGGAAACTTTATCTGAGAGTCTCCAATGTATGTTACAGTGATGAAAAAAGGCGTTTTTAAACAGCAAAACAGGACTCAGCTGAGCTTCGTTTAAGCTTAATTTGACTCCAAAAAGAAAATTCAGCTGCGACAGAGAAGTTTTCATTGAGCGCTCTCTTCTTTCTCCATTTAAAATTCATCTGCTGCCGTTCTTATTTAACCACTCACGTACTTAGGCCGCGAATCATCCCGAGCCGTCCTAACCAAATCTTTCCACACGACCTGATCAAGCATTGCATCTCTTATTTCTTTGGTATTGTCCAGTCCAGTGACAGCCTTGATGGTGTCACGGTGTACCTCTTGGTCTACCTCGATTTGGGTGACTGTTGGGGTTCCCGCACAGCGCTTTCAACCAATCTCTTCATTGTCAAGAGCACGGTGGCTAGGTAGTCTTAATCCTCTCGCACCAATTGTTTGACCAACCCATGGGAGGCTCCATGTTGTTGCCAATCACATTAAGGGCCGTTCGCAGCATTCTGGTGTAGCATCCACACACATCCTTGAGTGATACATGTGTAGGCAAACCTATTGGCGTTCGGTTCCAAATAATACCAAAAACTGTATTTCACACTGCCTAAACGAGACTATTGACGTCTGCAATCAGTTATGTGGTGAATGTAAAACCTGGCCACATGAGTAGTGTATTGGCTTCACGAAAGCGCAAGTTAAATATTACTGGATTACTGGAATAATCCATAAATAGAATGGTCGACTGTGGCTTGTACTTCCTTTCTTTTAGGGACGACTGGATTATGTAATAGAAATGGAAAAGGAGAACGAAGATGTTTTATTAACAACGACGGAGGTTTCAAGGTTTGGAGGAAACGAAGTTGTATGTGCAAATGTTGGATCAATAAGTGAAAATGTTAAGACGGAATCCACCAGAATATTGAGTAATTTTAATTTTCAGTGAACTAAAACCTTATTGTACTAGAATAATTTAAAGAAGATTACATTCGTTTTTACATTTTTCAAGGATTAGAGATGTAATTAGTTATCTATAATAACACCAAAGAAAATTTCCTATGGGAGCCCTAGAAAATGAATGTCAAATTTCACAAAAATCGTCAAAACACAGGTAAAATTCTGCAAATTTCATGTGCAAGTTGTCATTTTGTTAAGTTTGAGATTAATTTTCTCCGACCCCCATAAGAAATTCTCTTTGATGTTATTACAACTCTGAAGTTGTTATTACAACTCTGAACTCTGTTGAAATCCTAGCAGATTTTAAAGAGGAATTAGTGAAAAGAGGTTAAATATATTAGTAGTGATTGCTAATAGTAATAGTAATAATAATTAGTAGAGAAACATTTTCGTGGAATATATTTCAAGAGATATTGAGACATTATGATCTTTTCTTTTCTTTTTAGCAGATGTAAAGGTACAAATTTCGTTTTAATTCTTTTTAAGCGAAGCACTGTACATGGGTCTTTTTTACGATTATTATTATTATTAATATTATTATCCTCATTAAACACAGCTTCTGGATGGCTTGCTGGAGTCTTCCTTAAACATCAAGTCATGCCCGTGACCTTAGGTGTCCAAGACTTTGCAAAGGATTCTGGCTGTACCCAGTAAGCACGCTCTCTGCGATGATTCCAAACGACATGTGACACCAATCTCTGCTAACCACTCTTCTGTATCTTTCGAGACAGTTCTTAATGCAATAATACGTCCCTTGCTCTCTAGCAAAGCGCTTTGTACCATAAATAACTAGTTGCAAAGGGCCTGTTTCAATTTAAATTCCACGAAATAATGTTTCACATCTTACAATATTGTATGAAACAACAGTCAAACCTCACAATACTGTTTTTTCTTATTGTATCAAGGCTATAATCAATCCGTCACTTTATCCGCAGATTGGACTCTATGATGTATGCAGAGGAAGCAAGGAAAGTCAGCAAAAACAGCCAGAAAAAGAGTCGATCAAAAGAGACCGCAATGGCACGCCATATTTTTCTGTTTTCTTCGTCATTCGGTTCACTCTCATTTTTCTTGATTGGCGGGTGTTCACTTTCGGGTCTTGAGGGCGGAGAAACCGACTCCGTATTGTTTTCCACTCTCGTCAGCTCGCTGTCAATGGCATTTCGATTCATAAGCCTTTTCATTTTGAATTTTGTTTCAGTTATATTAAGGATCTT